GATCACACTCCTGAGCTTGTGGCAAAGCCTGTTTATTGTACCCAGGCTTCTTGAGGTGGGGCACAGTGGAGGTGGCTGGTCCCTGCTCCTGGTGTCTGAGGTGCCTGCTGGGAGAAGGGCGGGGCTGACTGCACCTGGAACTGCCCATGGACACCCACCAGTGGCGCCTCCCGTAGCCCTGGCCGCTTGGTGGCCCCGGGGAGTTGGATTTCCTGCCACCCACGGGGACTCAGGTTCTGGGGCCAGAAGCTGTCTTGTCTGTATTCTGCTGGTGGAAGCAGTTAGGAGCCCACCTGGCCTCCGAGGAGAGGACAGAGCCCGGGTCTCTGTGGGCCCTGAGAGTCAGCAGCCTGCGCCCAACAGCCTCCGCACCCCCCTGCAGACGGGAAGGTCAAATTAATGAGTTGACACACGCAAGTACTTAAGCAGGGCCTGGCATCTGGTGACGGCTCCATTAATGCCAGTGTCATTACCATTGTCACTGTGGAGCGTGTGGTTAGGTGACCCTTTTCTCCAGAGGAAACAGGTTCAAGGTCAAGGGTGGGCTGGGAATCTGTGTGTCCTCTCTGGTCCTGCTGCCTGTACCCAGAGGTCCTGTGCCCAGTGAACCCTCAGGTCCCTCCCCCAATTTGTGGCGCTCCTTGGCTCCCCCCCTCCCTCCCCTGGGGGCAGTTCCACGGGTTCCTCTTACTCCAGCAATATTTTCACTACTAATTTAGCGTCATTAAAACTCAGCCATTAGCAGCAACTCCCGGGCAGGTGCGTGGGCCGCTCCAGCTCTGGCAGATGAAGCTTCCCCCCCCCGCTGGCTGCTTGGGGAGGCTCACCCTCGCGCTTCTCTGGAGGATGGAGGCTCAGGCCTGAGCCTGCCGCTGGGTCTGGGCCCCTGAACCTGGGCAGGACCGTCTCCCCTCCAGGACTCAGTTCCCCAGCTGTGCCAGGCAAGAGCCGCGCCTGCCCGGGTGCTTCCCGAAAACAGTCCTGGTTTCTACCTTGTTCTGACCTAACTGGGGGGAATTGGCCTCCCGTCCTGAGGATGAGGTCCTGGTAGACGGAGGAGCCCAGCAGTGAGTGGGGTGGATCAGCCAGCCAGGGCGTGGGTGCTGGGTGCAGGCGGAACAAGAATCAGCAGGGAAATACACAAGAGCGGAGCCCAGCCAGGGCACCCAGCTAGAGGGCCCGCGTGCTCTCCCCTGGTGAAGGGGGAGGAGGTGGATAGTCCTTGGCTGCTTGGAGCTATGAATCTTGGCAGGTGACTTTCTGTCTCTGGACCCCAAATTCCGGAAGTGCCCGGAACAGCCCGCAGATCACCCGAGGAAGGTGTGGTTTCTCAGGTGCAGCTCTAAGGGTCCCACGTGGAAGGTCTTTGAGCAGTCAACAAACTTCCGTGGAACCCTGTGGGGGGCACGGGACTCCCTCTTGTGTGAGGCCCACCTGGTGGGCTGGAGCCTGGGGTGCACGGAGGGGAATAGTATTGGGGGGCTGGAGTTGGAGGGCATTAAAGGCTTCAGTAGGCAGGTTTGATTTCCCTCCGAGTCCCCTGCTCGTCTCGCAAAAGCCAACTGTGGAAAGAGACGTGCTGCGGGGGACGCCAGCTTCACCCAGGGCTGGCCCCCTGAGCAGCTGTGTGGAGCCATCGTCACCCAAAACACACATCGAGGAGCTCAACACACAGAGGGCCTCCATGGAGAGGGAAGGGATGCAGTGGGCAGTGGACAGGAAGACCCTGGGCCGGGTAGGGTCTTGGTCACCCTGAGCAGACGTCTCCTCCTCCCCCCCCAGCCAGAACATCACATTGACCTTGACCTCCTGGGTCTAGCGGCTGTACTTTCTCTGGGTAAACGTCTTAGTTTCTGCAAGTTAAACCTCACACCCATGTGCAGGCTTTGTGCCGGAGGGTGACAGGATCCAGGAACGGGAGGCAGGGCCACTCTGAGCTCCCTGAAGGTCACCAGATGTTCTGGTTCTGTAAATCTAAAGGAGGACTGTGGCAGTGAGCACCTCCACCAGGTGGGTGGGGCTTCTGTTTAGAATTTAGAGTCCTGGGCCAAGGGGTGGGGGGCACTGCCAAGGACAAGTCCAACTCAGAAGACACCCCGCACAGGGGGCCACTGTTCCAACCCAGGTGCCGCCAAAGGAAGGTCTGCACAGCTTGAGGGGACTTCTCCCCCCCCCCCTTCTCTTTGTGATGCTCACTCACTGGGGAGACAGACACTAATCAAATAATCCCACAAATAAATGTAATATTTGCCGGGCACAGAGGCCCACACCTGTAATCCCAGCAGCTCAGGAGGCTGGGGCAGGAGGATCGCGAGTTCGAAGCCAACCTCAGCAACAGCGAGGTGCTAAGCAACTCAGGGAGATCCTGTCTCTAAATAAAGTACAAAATAGGGCTGGGGATGGGGCTCAGGGGTCGAGGGACCTGAGTTCAATCCCTGGTACTGCCCCTCCCAAAAAAGAGCAGGGTCTACCCTCCCCAGGAGGCTCAGGGCAGAGGCACAGGACCTGAGGGAGGATGTGAGTGCAGAGGGAAGGCCAGGGGAGGCTGGCAGCCGCCTGCAGCTCCTGGGCACTCGCTGTGTGACAGGGAGATGCCTGGGGTTCCCCTGGAAGGTGGCGAAGGGGCCTACGGCACGTCCCCCCCAGATATGCCCAGGATAGGCCAGACGAGGCCACCCTGCCATAGGCCTGTTTGGCGTGATGATGATTTTGAGCTGGTCATTCTGAGACATTGCGGCCACCAGAGCAGCTCTGAAAAGTCACCTCCTTGTAAGAGGAAGGCACCTCTGGGGGGGGGGCAACCCCCTGGGAGGGTGCCCGGGCCCCAAAGGGGAAGAAGGACCGGAGACACTGCAGGGAGGTGGGGCCTCGACCGCACAGCCTCCCTGAGCTTGGGGTGCTCGGCTCCCCCAGGCCCTTCTTTCTGCTTCAGAAAATGGCGGGGTTCAAGTCTGAAGTCGAAACTTCCTCCAGAGCCACTCACTTCCCTGGTGCCCACGGGGACACCTGCTAACGAACTTCTATTTGTTTCTCTCTTGTTAATCTGTCTTTTGTCATCCGAGTCCCCGTTAAGAACTACAAAAGATAGAGAAAATTATTTTCTGTCCCCCAGAGCAGGGTGCACGCAGGATGAGGGGGTGGAGTGAGATGATTCTGCTCGAGGCCACTGCAGGGGACTGGCAAGGGTGGACCTCTTCCTTCCCATTGCCTGGCTCATGGCCGAAGCCCCTGTTAACAGAAGAAGGGTCGGGGGGAGAAGGAGCCCAGCCTCGTTCAGCTTGGGTTTTCTGGGGTACGGGAGGCTTCGTGAGGAATGGGTAAGTAAGTCGTGGGGTTTTTATGGATCTGGGCATGGAATGGGGCCTCACGTGCGCCAGGCGGGTGCTGGGCCATGAGCCGCACCACGTGTGCCTTCCTAGGCCAGGCTCAAGAGGCTTGAAGTCAAGGGCAGAACGAGGGGGTGACCGGCTGGGGAGACCGGGCCTGTCTGCGGTGTCTCTGCCTGGGGTCTTCGGGGGTAGGGACCCTCCTCTCCTCTGGGGACAGGGAGGCACCTCCAGGGAGGACCCCATGCCCTGACGCAGGGGAAGGCTGCAGATCCTTCCTGGGGAGCGTGGCTGGCTGCTTCTGCCACCTTCTCCAAGGTCAGGTGCCAGATTCGGAGTCCTGACCTCCATCCGGGCATTTGGGGTTTTCATCCACCCTGAGAGCTGCAGGAAGTCCTGGAGGCCTTCAGCGAGGGGACTTTGCCCTTGGATGTGTGTTGGGGAGATCAGCATGCGGAGTGGAGTGTGTCACGGAAACCAGAGCTGACAGGGCCCCCTGGGGTGGAGCGTGGGAGGGTGCACCAGGGTCCCCTGGGCTCCATCTGCTGGGACAGCCCAGGAACCAAAGGGAACCCCAGAGTTGTGGTCCCCCCGGGGCAGGGGCTGGTCCTTAGCATCAGTCCTGCCTAGTGGTGGGGGCTTGGGGAGGTGCCCTCCTGGGCCGTGCTCCTGCCCAACACCCCTGCCCCACTCCCCAACATCAGAGGAGCCCCGGCGGCAGCCATAATGCGCCCAGACGGTGCCAGAGTGTAGGCCTCGCATCCTGGAGCCCCGTCCACTCAGATCTGGGAGAGATCAGAGAGGCCCAGAGGATGGGGGGGTGCAGGGCCTCACTAGTCCAGCAGGTGAGCCAGAGCGTGGGGACCGAGGCAGTGACAGGGAGGGGGCAGCTGGGATTCCAAAGGCTCTTGGGAGTACATGGTCTCCTCTGGGGTTTGGTTCAGGTGGGCCCTTCCCAGAGAGAATCCTGAGAGAGGGCCGGGCCCAGGGCAGGACGGTGGGGACTGGCCGCCACGCCTGGCAACGTGGAGGTGCCCTTGGGGCGTCCCAGGAGGTGTTGGGGCAGCCGCTGACCGAGTGGAAGCCTAGCTTTGGGGAGAAGTCCAGGCGGGAGCCGGAAACGTGTGCGTCATCGGGTTTAGGTGGCAACAGGAGCCATAGGTGAGCATGAGATCACCTGGAGCAGGGACAGAGGGGGCGGGGCTCCGCAGCGGCACAGCGCCCAGGAGGACCCCACCACCGTCCCCTCCCCCAGCCCCGCCCCCAGGAGGGGGTGACATTTCAACACTTGTGATCCTAATTGAATTTAATTGTCTGCGCCGCAGCGCGCTGAGACCTTCTCAGAGTCCCCTGAAATTAGGAACATGGATAATACACTCCTCGGGGTTTCAATCTGTGTCCTCCCCAAGAATGGCCATTAATTTTTTACAAGCTAATCATATCTCTCCGGCAGGCTGTCAGCGGAGGATCCTCGTCGCTCATCAATAATGGAGCGATCCTGCGCCGCGCTCCCTTCCCGCGGCCTCCTGCATAATTCACGGGGCTTCAGACAAAGGCGGGAGGGGGCCTGTCCCCCCAGTGGGCGTCCTTGGGCATCTGCAGGGGCGGGGCGGGGCGCGGCGGAGGGGCGGGGCGGGGCGGGGGCGTGAAAGCTGATTGATGGCTCCCATCTGGCGCCCCTTCTTAACACTCTCTCACCTGCCTCCTCCATCTGTCCCCGCGCCCAGCCCCCTCCTCTGGCCGCCTCCCGGGCACCCTCTCCTCCCTTCCCGGCCTTCTCCCCTCCTGGTTCCTAACTGTGAGTCTTCTCCACAAGAGCTTCTGGGCGGCTCCCACCTGCGGAGTCGTTTGAAACAGAGGAGGCAACAGGTGCCCATTTGGCAGATGGGTCAACTGAGGTCCAAGAGGAAAGCCACTTACCAAAGATCACAGGGCAAGTCAGAGGTGGGCAGCACTGGGCCTCCGGGTGAGGGTCCCAGGCCCTGCCCTTTCCCTGTGAGCCTCAGGCCCAGCGGGCAGCGGCTGCCTCCTTAGCCTTGAGGCTGAAGGCCCCACCTGGCTTCCCCGTCAACCAGCTGTCCCTGTGCAGAGCTGGCCCTGACCTCTTAGCTTGTGCGTCAATCTGAGGCCAAGGATCAGAGGCCAGAGATGGCGGAGGCCGAGGAGGAGAGGAGAAAGGAGGCTGTAGGCACCAGTGGGACGGTCACCCCTCTCCTCCTTGGACCAGTCATCAGGACCTCTCCCATTGCGACCCAGCCACAGGGAGTCGGGTGCAAAGCCGCGTGAGGAGGTTCCTCACACCTGGGCCTCCAGCCGATGGCCCTGCAGGGCTGTGGTTAAGAAGCACCAGAGAAGCTGGAGTCCAGTGCTCCTTGGGCCACCCTTGTCCTGGGAGGGATGCCGCTTCCTCGCATGGACCACCCCCGTAGGCATCGCTCAGGTGGCAGGGCAGGCCGCAGGGCTCCCGGGTCTCTGTGGTGATCCCCGGATCTGGGTCCCTGGGAAGGCAGAATTAAAGAGGCCGTCCGTCCGTCGGTGTAGACAGTGAATCGGGTCAGGTGGGTCAGGGAGGCCAGCTCGGGTCTGGGGAGTGGGAGAGGGGCTGCCATGCTGATGGCCTCAGAGCTGTCCTTATCAAGATGACCTGCCCTGCTCCAACCTGTTGCTAAGGTAACTGTCCCAGGGACTGTCCCTCCTGCAGGGAGCTGTAATTATGCCCCTTCCTGCCCAGATCCCCCCTGGCCTCTCCCGCCTCTGCTTCTCACCTGTGGGCCACCCCGCTGGGCATCTGCTGGGCCTGGTCACACACGCAGGAAGGAGGAGATGCGGGAAGAGGGCAGGGGACAGAGGAAGCCCAGGACACACAAAGGCAGAACCCGCTCACGTCCTGGGGTAGCGGGACGCCAGCCGCGGCCTTCTCCCTCCCAGGAGGGGTCGCTGTCACCCCCTTTTTAAATAAACCCTGCTTCACTTGCCCGCCTCCGCGTGCGTCTCCAATGTCCACTTCAACCTGTGGGGGACAGGACTGTCACCTAGAGGCAGCGGTGTCACCTGGCCTGAAGCAATGGCCGGGTCTGCTCCCTGGGAACCCAACTGGACAGGTCCAAAAACTTTCCCTGTCACCGTCCCAGCTCTCCACCTCTTTGTCCCTTTGTCCAATTTCTGGGTTGTCACCAGGGTGACCCGTCTTTCTGGTTCACTCAGGGACACGGCGTTGGTTGGTTTTAAAACTGGGCAAGTTCCAAGTCCCTTCCGGCCAGGACCCAGCTGGGGTGGGCCTGGGGGCATGTTCCTTCCGGGGGTTTGCAGCCTGGCCCAGCTCCCCAGGGGGCGGTGACCTTGGGTGACCTTAGGTGGGACCCTCCCTCCCCCACCCTGACTCCCTGGGAGCAGAGGTAAGTCACAAACCCAGCTTCACAAGGTCACTGTAGGTAGGGAGAGCCTGTGGTGTTAGTGCTCTCCTGGCCACCACCCAACCTCCCCTTCTCCTCGCGCACCCCACTCAGCCCGTGGCCGAGCCCTGCCAAACCCACCAGGGCTGCCCTGGCCTCAACAGACACTTCCTGCTCTCCAGCTGGCCATTCAAGGCCTTAGTGGTTCAGCCTCAGCCGGCCTTGGCAGCCCCTCCTCCTGGGTGTCCCTCTGCCTTGAGCTGGAAGAATAATTCCTCAATCTGCCTCCCATACTCCTGCCCTCCTTTCCCTGCCCATCATATCCATTTTAGATCCAGAAGCAGAAGCCCAGAGAGGTCGAGTCAGTTTCTAAAAGTCACACAGGAGTTTAGGGCCAGAGCTCAGAGAGGCTGTCAAGAGTCTGAATTTGGGAGTCACACAGCCTTGGGTTCAAAACAGTCTCAATTTTCACCCTTTAAAAAGGATCCAGGCTCAGTGGTGGAGCACCTACCTAAGGTACATCAGGCCCTGGGTTCCATCCCAGCCCCCCTCCCCCCAAAAAAAACCCCCAATCCTCTTAGTACCTTGGGAGGGTGAGATGATACTCTCTGCCTGGCACACGGTAGCCCGCGCCAAGACCCCTTGCCGTTATTCCCGTTATTCTCGTTGGCCATGTGGTAGGCTCTTACCTGCTTTAACTCAGTGTCAACTTCCTGGGCTGTTACCTGTGAGTCCCAGGAGGGCCACCCAAGGCAGCTGGCCTTCCTAGGGCTCCAGAGCCTGGGTCCTGCTGCAGGATTGCCCAGCAGTATGTGTGACCTTGTCAAGGTCATGGCCCAGGTCAGGAAGGGCACCTGGGGACAACAGAGGCAGGGTGTGTCTCCTGGACTGTGGGGGGGGCGCTGGCCCTGCCTTCTCAGGGCCTGGCTTTGGGGCCTGTCACCCTCTGGATTCCCCAGGGCTCGGGTGGCCCAGCCACAGAGGCAAAGGGAGACTTGTGCCTTTAAAGCTCTCGGATCCGGTTCCAGGCCGACAGCGCTGCATTTGCATTTAAATGGAGGTTGGAGTCTGTAAATCTCCATTTCCCCACCGCGGAGCCTAATGGTTGTTTAATCATGTTTAGACGAACCCCCCACCACCCCCCCCCCCCAGCACCGGGGCTGGTGCCTTTGGAATCCACGCGGAAGAGACAAAGATCAAATGAGGAGAGGACTGTCCCTGGCTGCTGGGGAGGGGGTCATCCACGCCCCGGGTGGCCTCTGCCCCTTCCAGGAAGGCTTCTGGGATTGCTCCCAAGTCAGAAGTCACCGTCACAACTCCCCAGTCTTGGTGGCTGACAGCAGCTGGTGACTTCACAGAGGCCCGGATTGAAATGCCCACCTGCCCCTGGATAATCCTGTGGCTGCGGCAGTCACTCAGGTTGACTGGGTGTCCCCGTAGCTGAAACCTGACAAATCATGGGTAAAGTCCCGGGAGCCCAGTGGGGACTTTTGGAACAGCAGACAATGGGACTTTGGATTGCCCTTGAAGTAGAGAGGGGCTGGTGCAGGACTGGGACCCGGGACTGCTCAGATGGGTTCTGGAAGCTGCTTCAGGTGCACCCCCGCCCCCCTCGGATCAGAGCCTGGGCGTTCTGAGCACAGAGCTGTGGGCTCCTGAGGAGCCAATGGCCCGGGATCGCTGCGCCACTTCCTCGAAGCACCACTGAGGCTGCAGGTGCAACCGTCCTGCTCTGTGCACCTGAGTTCAGGTGGTGGCCTAAGGTCACGCCTGCCCTTTCGTGGCCCCTGGTGTGGAACGTGCTGTTAGGGGGACCCTGACATCTGCAAGAACTTCCTGATACACGCAGGTCACAGTCCCTGGTGGAGGGAGGGTCAGGATGGGGCAGGTCTCAGGGGAGAGCAGAGAGCGGAGCAGCAGTGCCCAGGCCCCCAGGGCCACCCCGACCTGGGACAGTTTCCCACACCCCCTGCTGCCTCCTGCGAAGCTCCACGGGGCTCTCGGGTCTGGGTTGGAATCAGCCCTTGGCTTTGCCACTGTCACTCTTCTCTCCAAGTTTGAGGAGGAAGCAGGGATTTCATCTCCTGCTCATTACTGCCGCCCGAGGTCATTACTCCTGGGGCTCCTCAGGCTGCAGGGGTGGGGACCGCAGCTGTGGGGGCTCAGCCACCTCCCTGCACGCTGCCTGGGGGCCTCCCGGGCGGGGCACGTCCTGGTCCCTGCTGCTGGCTGCCTGTGACAGGAGCAGGAAGTGGTCCTCCCTCTCCCAGCTGGAACCCAGACTTTGGGGCAGCACAGGTGGCCTTTCCGAGGTGGCCTTTCCAGCCGTCCTTTGTTCCCTTGAATGCCAGCCTGGGCTTGCCAGGGACAGCCAGCTCCGCCTGGAGCCCAGGAACCAAAGCCTGCAATTTCAGGAAAGGTAATGAAATGCCTCCTGGAGACAGCAGGAGTCTGGGGCTGTCCCCACCAGGCCACCTGCCATCCTGTCTGCCTGGCCTCCTAGGAAGCTGGCCTCCCCCCAGGGACCCTGCAGGAGCTCCCCGCCCAGCAGCTCTCGCAAAGCCTCCTGCAAGTCAGTCCATCTTCATTTGGTGACCTTGTGCCCTTGATCTGCACCTGTCTTGGCAGGTGTCCTCTGGGGCAGGGGAGGTGTGACCGGGTCCTGGAGCCCTCGGGAAGAGGGGGAACTGAGGGGGAAGATCGGGGCCCCCACTCTGCACTGTGCTCCACACTCGGGGCCTTGGCCTCAGTTTCCCACAAGTCCAAGTTGGGGTTGTGCTCGCCCAGTCCCTTCCACCCGGGACGCTGTGGTCCGTCTCCTGATGGCTGATTGCTGGCAGCCAGGGACCCGCTGACCCTCACCATCCCCTTGGGCACAGGGAGGTTGGTCAGTGTCTGAGCTGAATTGATTTGGTTTATTATTTCAGAATCGGTGCTTCCCCAGGAAGGGTCAACCCACCCCTGGAGCCGATGCCCGGGTCTCCCTCTCTGCCCTCCTGTCCCACACAGGCTGGGGCCTTTGCAGGAGACCACGCCACGGTGCAGCCAGCAGCCCTTGGATCTCAAGGTCTGACAGAGTGTGGACGAGATCGCAGGCAGGTTCTGCTTCTCTGTGCCTCCGCTTTCCCGTCTGTAAAATGGGAGTGATAATATGGAGGCCGGTTGTGGCTCAGTGGCAGAGCACTTGCTGAGCAGGCAGGAGGCCCTGAGTTTGGTCCCCACCACCACCATCATCATCGTGTGGGGGTCCAGCGAGATGAGGCCCATGGAGCCCCCAGCGCGGGGCCCGGTTCACGGCACCTGCTCAGCACAGGTCAGCGGTGGCTGCTGCGATTCTTGCCACCCTCTGGTAAGTCACTAGGCTCAGCAGAGCTCAGCGGGTCTGGGGAAGGTGGCTCTGGGACACTCCAGGCCCTTCACGCTGTGGCTCCTACCCCGATTCTCACCAGGGTCACCTGTCCAGGACAGCCTCTCTGGGGAACTTCCACTCACTGCCCTGTTCCCCCCCACCTCTTCTGTCCGGGGACACCTCCTCATCCCTCCATCTCAAACCACAGCCTGTCGCAACTTCTGCAGGCTGAATTAGGCCCTGCCCACTCTCCCCCTCAAACTTGTCCACCTGGTGGGCACCTGTCCCACCATGCTTTATGCCTGTCTCTCTTCCTTATTAGATCGTGGGCTTCTTGAGGGGGGACCACAGTCATCCCTGGTCTGACGTGTGTGTCTGGGGGCCTGGCACAAAATCAGTGCCCAAGAAGCAAGAGTTATTGCTCGGACGTGTGCAGTGGTATTCAGGGACACTGCCTGGCTTAGCCGTTGAGAGCATAGCCACCGGCAGCACACAGGCCTGGGCTGGAACCCAGCCTACCCCTTATTAATCTCATGACGCAGCTGACATAGAGCCCGGCTCAATAAGGGGGGTCTATTGAACAGCGGGGCCCTTGGGCCTGGGTCTTAAGCAAGTTTAAAGTGCACTTCTACTTTCTCATCTGTGAAATGGGCTGATAATAGTATCAAACCGAGGGCTAAGTGACTCCCTAGTGCACAGCGCGTGGTCCATGTCCAGAGTTTAGCAAGCTCTCGGGAGCCCAGCGGGTTGCTATGACAGCCTCGGCACCCCGCCCCCTCCCTGGTGGCAGAAAGTTCTTTGACCCAAGTGGCCTGCTGCCTTCCCAGGACCTACTGGGTCCCCAGCCCCTCCCGGCCGTCAGACTCTGCTGTTCCTGCTCCGTGGGGCGGCCCCTCCCGTGGCTCAGCCCTGACAAAGCTGATTGGGAATTTGTTTTATTTCGGAGGCTTCCGAGGCCTGTCTCCCCCCCTGAAAAAGCAATTAGACTGTGTTTACCAGAGTGGGTGGCTGTAATCTGTCGTCTTATCCTGTCACTGTCCCCTTAGCCTGCTTTGCTCAGCCTGGGATGCCTGGGATGCAGATTTGCATAATCAGTGAAAGTGGAACTCAGGGTGGGGGTGGGGGCCTCTGGCCTGACCTGGTAGGGACGGTGGGGGGCTTCCCTGACTTGGAGGTGCCCCCACAGGGTCTTCTCTTCCTGGCTCTGTTGGGCAGGGCAGGTCTGTCCTAGAGGCTCGGTGGGTGGAGTTGTCTGTTGACCACGCCCCTCTGCATACAGCCTTCAGTGGCTCCCCATTGCCCCAGCTGCCTGTTCCCCATCTCGTCCTGTGACCTCCCCTCTGTCCCTCTCAGGGGTTGGTGTGGGATGGCAAAAGCCTGGCTCTCCCATGGCTCCGGTTCAGAGCTCTCCAAAGGAGGCTCTGAAAAGGGTTCTGAGTGCAGGTATTTTGTTTGGGAGAAGATTTTAAGAAGCAAGTGGTGGAGTGGGGAGGCTGAGACAAGGAGAGAGATCGTCCATGGAGGATGTGCCCCTGACTGAGCTCCAGGCTCTCTGAGTGGAAAACAGGTGCCAGGCTGGAGCTGAACAGCCCGCAGGCTCATTCTCTGAGGCAGCTGGCTCCAAAGCAGCCTCCCTGTGTGGCTCCTCCCACAGGGTCTGTGGGTGTGGCCACGAGATTTGCCTTGGCCAATGGGACATCAGCTCACCAAGAGCCTCCCCGTGTGGCTCCTCCCACAGGGTCTGTGGGCGTGGCCATGAGATTCACCTTGGCCAATGGGGCATCAGCTCACCAGGAGCCTCCCTGTGTGGCTCCCTGCAAAGGGTCTGTGGGCGGGGTCAAGGGACTTGTCTTGGCCAAAGATAAGCACTTACAATTAGTGCTGGCCCTCTGCAAATGCTGCTGCCAACATAAGCAGCCTGGGCTGTCCTGCCAGAGGGGCCATGCCAGGGAGCCTGAGGCACCCAGCCCTGCTGTCGCTAGCCAGCAGACATAGGAACGAGGCCATCTTGGATCATCCAGTCCAGGTGAGCAGCCAGGTGACTGCTTGAGGCCCCCAGTGAGACACCTGGAGAACCCCCTGCTGGCACAGCCCAGTTGTAGAACCAATGGCAAATATGCATAGATATGTGCTAAGTCACCAAGCTGGGGATGTTTCTTATGCAGCTTCAGATGACTGATACATCCACCAACTCCCGTCCTGACTAGTCCTGAAGTGCTCCAGGTGCCTGTCCTCACTGGGCAAGCCTACGGTTGGGAGGGAGGGTGCCCTTCTGGGGGATGGAGGTGCCTCGGGGCTCCTGCTGCGCCAGCTGGCTCTGAGAGCAGTCAGAGGAGCTTCCATTGGAAGCCGCCCCTTTTAAGAAGGAAGCTCCACAGGGTTGGACGCCCGTGGTCCCACCCCTAGGGCAGTGCCTGGGCGAGCCGTGGGAGTGTGGTGGACACTTGAGATGAAGTAGGGGAGTTTAACCAGGCGGAATGGGGAGGAGAGGACCCCCGCTTCCCTCTTCACCCCGTCTCCCCACCCCACCTCCACTTCTCCCCACATCCTTCTTGCCCTCAGTGCTCTCCACGCCTGGTCTCCTGCAGTAGTGAAGCCCGGACCCCAGAG